CTATAAGGACTCAGAATGTACACTTCTGCTGTGACCCTAGGTTAGGCAGATGAGTGTGCAGCTGCTGAGCTGTGATTGGTGAAACAAAGTTCTGCTGGATGCTGATTTGCTGTCATAGTATGATATCATCACTTTACTACAGCCTCCGTCTCTGCTTTAAGTTTCAGTTTCTGTCTGTGCCGGATTAGGACAAGCTGCAGCACATCACACACCAACAGGTTTCACTCAAACGTTGGGGTATCTTCATGGTTTTAGGATGCTCTCTTTTATCTGGCGATGCATCAGGACGGCCTCAGAGCACCGTGTCCATCTTTGGGTCTGGCCACACATTTTTTACTGCTTACATAAACTATGTAAGCAGCAGAGAGGGCGACTGCAATTGTTTAATGAAGCAAGAGGAAGACACAAAGAATACATTGTGTCGTCTTGGATAGAGGAGGTGGGTAACAAGTTTACAGCTGAGGATTCTGTTGTGTGTTTCACAATCTCTGGTCTCGATATGTCCATAAATTTCGTAAGATTCTGTGAAGTCCGTAAAGCATTGTGCTTATTTTTCTGAAGGAGCGTTTCTAGTTTAAAGTGTCAACATCCTCCTCCAAAATCCTACCTAAAAACTTGTCTGGCTCAACAAACAATGCAAATGTTTAAGCAATCATCTTGTGTTGAGCTCAGTAAATGGACTGTACTTATATAGCACCTTTCTGTCCAACCAGGATACTCAAAGTGCCTTACACTACAATCTGTGTCCTCATGTACCCACTCACACATTCATCCAGCGCTCTACATTGGCTGCGTCCAAATTAAGGGGCTGCGTTCTTCTAAGGCAGAATTTATCAGCCACTTACATAATTCTGCTGCACCAGAGGCTGTCCAAATTCAAAGATTTTTCCAAATTGGCCCATGAACGTGTCCTTTTTCCTCGATTTGAGGGATGGGTCCAGCATATCCGTCTTGGCCCAGCCTATACTGTGATGCATTGCGGGCCGACGGCGGTATAAAAACTGAAAGTTGAAAGCAGTTGTGTTTTTGATGCTTTTCTTATTTGCATAGACATGACATTTTTTAATATTACCCTTGTCACAAATCAAATGAGTTGGTATAGAGAAATAAACATCAGGTACAGCAGGACCGTTAGTTCTTTAAATATTGCCTTTAAGCTAATTTTATCATTTTATAATGTTATTAATACCAATATTGATATTTTATTTATTTTTTTTACTATTTTTGTTTTTGTTTAGCGGTTGCTACATGACAGGACAGGACTTCTAGACCGGGTCCTTCGAGCCAGACCCTGATCTTGCATACATGTCTCTCAACAAAGATAATAGATGTACAGTGGTTTGCAAAAGTATTCATACCCCTTGAACTTTTCCATATTTTGTCACATTACAAC